AAAAATAATGAATAGAAGTAATAATTTTAAAACAGAAACATCTGATTTATTAGGAGAAACATTTGGAAATATAACATGAAAATTAAGAAGTGAAATTAATGAAAAAAAGTAAAAACTTGAAAATCCAACCTTACTACAAGAATATTATAATAGTTTTCTAAACTTTTTATTAAAATTTTTTGATGGACTTATAGTTATTTTAGAGAAAAAGAAACATGAAATATTAAATAAAAAAAGAAAGCAAAGAGGAGTTGAAGAAAAACCTTTTGATATTATATATGCACAAAAAAAATCAACATTTTTAATTTTGATTATATTAAATATTGCATTTTCTGAAGTTAATATTTGGCTAACAAATATTATGAGTTCACTTTATAGAAACTGAAGTTGTTAACATTATTATATGCTATTCTTTATACAGCTAATGTAATTTCTCATACATAATCACATGAAAGAAAGTTAGAAAAAAATAGAATAAAAAAAATAGATTCAAAAGAAAGATTATTTTAAGATGAAAATATTTGAAATGTATCTATAATAGATAATATTGATTTTAAAGAACAAACATTTACATATGATAATATTTTTGATACAACTCAGAATAGTTCACATATTACATTACGTATGATTTTTCAGTTTCTTTTACCAGTACCATTAAAATCAATATTGATAATAATAATAATAGTAGTAGTAGTAATAATAATAATAATAATAATGCAATTTTATTTGATAAATCAGACTTTACTAATAATTTATTAAAAAGTTATAAAAATATTTTTAAAAAACTTATAAAAATAAATTCAAATAATTGGAATGTAAATAATTTTTATAAAGAAATTTCAAAAAATATATCAATTGAATATCAAATTATATCACCAAATGTTATAATACTTAAATCAGGAGAAAATTTGAATTATGATATAAATGTTTATAATGCTTACGAAATGTATTATAATAATGTAAGAACATTAAATAGTGATCATTTAGATGTAGCTTATGATGAAGCAATTTTTAGGTGTTTAATATCTTATAATAAAAAAATAAATAATGTAAGATTAATTTTAGGTTAATGGTATATATCAAAGGATATGTGTAGTGCATTAATTACAATATTTTTGAGTTATGGTATTTTTAATTTAGCAGCAAATTTAGGAGTACATTATTTAAATAAATTAGAAAAAGTTGTTAATTATACAGCTACATGTAGAGTTTTAGAATTAATTTAAGTAGCTGTAAGTATTGTGATATGTAAATATTTAAATAAAAATAACAAAACTATGAAAGATATTGAGAATAATGATAATAATGTATTAAAAGTATGGTACTATTATTTTTGTTAGGCTGAATATTAAATTAGTCATAAAATTGAAATAAGAAGAGGAATTATGATATGCAATTTAAAAATTTAGTAGCATTTTCGTCACTTTTTTCTAGTTGCTAATAAAAGTAATTATGCAAGATTTGTAACTTATTTTTTATTAAATATTAATAATAATCCAACTTTACAAAAATTACTTCAATATGTATGTTCAGTTAATTTTACTCGTCCAGGACATTATTTTGCATTTGATAAAACATTAGAATAATTTGATGTTAAAACAAAATATTAGTGAAAATTGAATAGATATTGATAATTTAAAATCACAAATATTATCAGTACAAATTGAAAGAGAAAGACTTACATTATTATTGTCAGAATATGTTAGAGATTCAATTTTAATTAGAGAAGAATGGACTATAAAATCAAGAAAAAAGTCATTATGAAAACTTGCTGAAGATTTATTAGAAGCATTTAATTTATCAGATTCTTTAAATCATAAATTATTTAAAAATACAAAAGAAATAAATAAAAGAGGTTTTAAACGTTTATTTATTTGTTATAATCAAGGTATTGAAAACTTAAAGTAATACAACATCAAAATGTTTATAAAATAGAAATTCAAAATGTAAAAGGTCATCGTATTCATAATATAATAACATATAAATCTCAAAATTTACAAATTGAAAATTCAAAAGAAAAAATAAGTAATAAAAAAACATGAAAATTTAAGTAAAGAAGAAGTAAATCATGAAAAACGAACTTATAAAAAAACAAGTGAAAATAAAAAGAAAATACTTGAAAAGATACTTAATTATAATACTTTTTCTGAAAATGAAGCTTTTAACATACTTAATTAACTTCAATCTGAAAGTATAAAATAGGATTTAAATTGTGTTAAAATATATTGGAAAAATAATCATATAAAAAAAAATAATTAATTATTTATATATTTTATCTTTCTTTATTTGTAATAAATTATAATTTCTTATTAATTTTATAATTTTATATGGTATTCATTTTCTAAAAAAAAAAAAAAAAAAAAAAAAACAGAGGTAAAAAATTTTTTCTAAAAGTATGAATACCTTCCAGTAGTAATGTATATTTTGATGTCCCAGAGATTTATTGTTCAAGCTATATATCCTAACTATATATCCCAACCTATTTCACACTATATTTCAAATATCCTATCTGTTCCATCTATGTTTCATCAGCATCCCATCAGTGTCCCATCAATGTCTCATGACAATACTACCTTCCAGACCTCCTATTTGGATACTTAAAGTTAATGCTTAAATCTATACTATAATTATAAAATAAATTATTTATTTATTATATTACAATAATTTTTATCTAATATCTTAATAACAATAATACAAGTAAAATTTTAATATTAATCTTTTATCATTATTGTTATATAAAAATTGCTAAATCGTTAAATTGTAATACAAAATTAATTTTGAACTTTAAATATTATATATACGATTTTGATATTTATTAATAATATGTAAATTTATTAGTGCTACAATTTTAATTAGTAATAAATTATAGGTTTAGAAGACCAATTTTGTCTTATATATAGAAAATCTGCTAAAATTATTAAATTGGAACACAAAAATTAATTTTGAATTTTAAATATTATATATTCGATTTTGATATTTATTAATAATATGTAAACTTATTAGTGCTACAACTTTAATTAGTAATAAATTATAGGTTTAGAAGACCAATTTTGTCTTATATATAGAAAAACTGCTAAAATTATTAAATTAGAACACAAAAATTAATTTTGAACTTTAAATATTATATGTTTAATTTTGATATTTATCAATAATATGTAAAATTATTAGCGCTATAACTTTAATTAGTAATAAATTATAGATTTAAAAGACTAATTTTATCTTGTATATAGAAAAACTGCTAAATTACTTTATTACAAAAAAAAATATTTTAATATTTTAATTTAAAGATCCTTTAAAACTATCGCTTGTATAATATTAAATTAATTAATTTTAAAAAATAAAAGACTTAATTATTATAATATTAAAATATTAAAAATATATCTCTGTTAAAATGTAATCTTAATATATATTAATTAAGAAATAAAATTTAATATTTAATATTTTTTATTATAAAAAAACAATTTAGCATTTCTTTAAAATATATTATTTAGCTATCTAATGATTAGATTTTAATGATTTTTAATTTATTAGATTTATCTCATTATATTAAATCAAATTTAAAATATTCATATTATTTATAATATTATTTATTAAGATATAATAATTTAAATACTGTTTATATTATCTTATAATTTAATAATCAAAAAATAATTTTAAGTTTATTATATACACCTTAATAAGACGAATTTTATGGTTTTTATTTCATAAAAATTGAAGCATTATTGACTAAAATATATCAATTTAAAGTTTTTAATACTTGGAACATGCTATATGACCGTTAAGCATACTTATTTGCTGCTTCTTTAAGTATTAAAATGTGTTCTAAAGAAATTATATGCAACTTGTTTTCTCACTATTTATCAGAAATTTTTGAAATTAAATTTACTCTAATATCATTGTTTTTAAAAATTTCTAAATATTGAGTATATTTTCCTTCTTCATAAATTACATCTAACTCTTTTAAAAAATCTTCTAATTTTAAAACTAATATTACAGTTGGTAAAGAATCATTTTTAGACATGATAATAATGGATATGTAAAAGTTAATTGTAATGATAATAGCAGATAGGTAGAAATTGATTGTGATAGTGATAGATATGTAGAAATTGATTGTGATGATAGTGAATATATAGAAATTAATTATAATTATGGTAGTGGATATGTATTAGAATATGTTGAATAAGTGGTTAATGCTATCTATACATTTTTTGATAATTTAACAAAATTCATCATATTAAATAAAAGTCCATTTAGAAGATTATTAAAATCAGCAGCATTTTTAACCTAAAATTAATTTAACATAATTAGTTAATATATTAGATTAAAATAAATATATTTATAAAATTTAATAATTACAATTCTGCTGTCTATAATTTTAAATGTAAAACAGTCAAATTAAGATGTCTATTACCTTTAATATAACAATACTTATTGTTATAAATTGTATAATGATATTTATTATATAATATTGTTAATACATTAGCTTTATTTACATTTTTTTCTTTAACTTTATCTTCTTTCAGAATGCAGCTTAGCTTTTTTGTATTATGTGAATTATTATTCAATTTTTGAATAGATAATTTAAATTTAACTTCGAAAATTTTATCTAAATCACAAGATGTCTAAATAAAAATTATTACAGTTAATAAAAATGTATATAATTACAGTAAATACAATTAAAGATTTATCTTTCATTTAGATTGAATATTTATAATAACAAGCATCAATTTTATAGTTTTTTTTAATTTATCATAATAATCTAAAAATTTATTGAATTCATGCTTATTATCTAACCAATTTCTGACTCTATGACTGTTTTCAATCTTGTATATTATTTTAAATTTTCATAATTTAAAAATCCATATTTTTCATCTAAACAATCACAAATCTTTTCTTTAAAATTAGAAATATTAGAAGGTTTTTTTTATTATTATTAATAAAGAAGGTTATGATAATATATCATTAACACTTTTTATTTGTAATTTAAATTTAAATGGTTCTTATAATAGAGTGGATATAGAATCAGAAATATCAGATGATGATGGAGTAACAGAAGAATTTGAAAGTGATAGATTTAAAATTGATGGGTTTAAAAGTAAGTCCTCTGCTTCAGGAATTGATAAATTATTAAATGTAATAGAAGGTATTGTAAGTAAAGAATTTGTTATTGAAGAAGGTATAGAATCTGCGGTAGATGATTCTTGTTCATTATTATTTTGAAATTTTTTTTCACAATAAATTTTGCTATTACATTGATTACAGTAGCGGTCATAAGTATCCGACCGTCTGAGATCGTCCAAAATTATTATATAACTACCCCTTAAATTTTCCAG